TCGTCTGCTTTCGTCTCCTCTTTCTGCCCCCACCCCCTCACCTCCTTTGCCCCCTCCTCTGGGCTCCTGATTATTTCTGCAGCCTTTCTACTGCTACTCCTTGGCTCCTTCTTACTGGTGTCTTTCAGCCACACCCCTGATCTTCTGGTAGGAAAGATCTACACCTAGCCTTCTCGGACAAGGGCGAAAAATCTCGAAGGACCCGTGTGCAAGTTGCGCACGTTAAAAATCCCTTTGTGGTCTAAAATCGATAAGAGTAGGCTTCGGCCGCCACCCGGGCAAAATTCAAAATTTCCTACCAACTGAAAATATTAGGTGAGTCCCGCGCGTTCATATGACCCTATGCAGTTGCGAGCGCGTAAAACACTTACCAGATCACATAACCAGGATCATCACAAGAGCCAGAAAAGGTCTGACTGCACTGAAAACCATGGCGGGTAGCAGAATGCCAAAGAGAATTTTAGCCATACTATACCAGACTCTTGTGCCGTCTGTGAGAGACTATGGCCTCGGTCTCCTCACCTTGTAAACGTCGCAGATGAAACGCCTTGAAAAAATTCTGAACGAAGGTATGCGAACTGTTCTCGGGTGCGCACGATACACATCCTGCGAGACTACGCATTATCTCCTGGACCTCCCAGCCATGGTAGAACGACACAATATTGCTCAGGTGAAAGCGTGTTTGAGAGTCAGCGCCAATGATCAGCACCCACTGCATGACAAAGTGGGCAGAATTTTGTATGCACGCGTCTGCTTAGAGGGACTGAATGGGTGAATGAGGCAGCGACGATTTTACGATTTTAGCTAAATGCTGTGAAATGCAAGACATCCGAAGGGGCAGCACTATGGGTCAACGTCCTGACACACCTTGGCAGCATACTCGAGTGATAGCAACCTTAGGCAGAGAATGTCTTGAGTGGCCAGAGGGAGCAGCCAATGCCGAGGTAGAGACGCTGATAGAGGAGAACAGTGAACAGGGCGACGTAGTCATCTTCACAGATGGATCAGTAGAGCGTAGTGTCAAATGTGGATGGGCTTTCAGCGCCTGTGTCAACGGGGTCATACAGAGGGAGAGAGAGAGAGAGAGAGAGAGAGAGAGAGAGAGAGAGAGAGAGAGAGAGAGAGAGAGAGAGAGAGAGAGAGAGAGAGAGAGAGAGAGAGAGAGAGAGAGAGAGAGCGAGCTGTCAGGCGCCACTAGTATAGCCAAGTCCAGCATATGTCTGGAGATAAAAGCAATCATAGAAGCCCTTAATTGGATTAAGACGACGGAGTATCAGTCTGACATCTTCGTTACCTACTCGATGAGTACCCTCGAAAAAGTGAAG